TGTTGGCGGGGATGCGGAGAAAGGGGAACCCTCCCATACTGATGGTGGGAATGCAAGCTGGTGCAGTCACTCTGGAAAACAGTATGGAAGTTCCTCAAGAAGTTAAAAATAGAGCTACCCTACGACCCAGCAATTGCATTACTAGGTATTTATCCAAAGGATACAAACATAGTGGTCTGAAGGGGCACCTGCACCCCAATGTTTATAGCAGCAATGTCCACAAAAGCCAAACTATGGAAAGAGCCCAGATACCCGCTGACAATGAATGAAGATGTGGTATATATCTACAAAGGAGTATTACTCAGCCATAAAAAAGAATGAAATCTTGCCATTTGCAAGGAGGTGGATGGAACTAGAGTGTATTATGCTAAGCGAAATAAGTCAAATACAAATACCATATGATTTTTACTCACATATGGAATTTAAGAAACAAAACAGATAACACAGGGGAAGGGAAGGAAAAATAAGATGAAAATAGAGAGGGAGGCAAACCATAAGAGTCTTAATCATAGGAAACAAACTGAGGGTTGCTGGAGGGGAGGTGGGTGGGGGGGATGGGGTAACTGGGTGATGGGCATTGAGGGCACGTGATGTGATGAGCACTGGGTGTTGTGTGCTATTGATGAATCACTAAATTCTATCTCTGAAACTAATAATACAGTGTATGTTAATTAAACTGAATTTAAATAAAGAAATTAAAAAAAACCATCAGTCTCTGGCTCCTTTTGTAGGATAAACTTACTGCCCCAGGGCCTTTACCATCTGGTTTGGATAATGGGTACATAGTCTTTGTCTTGTCCCTGGATGGAAGCCCTGGCATCTGCTGCATCTGAATTTGATGCCTGGATCTTGATTTTGAACTCTCCCCAGAGGCATTCCCCTTTATAGGAAGCCCAGGAGCTTGGCTGTCAGGCAGACCGGAGTTCAAAATCCTAACTCTGCCACCATTCAGCTGGGTAATGCTGTCTGAGCCTCCGTTTCCTCATCTTTGCAAAGGGGATAATTGTAGCCCCACCTCTGGGAGGGTTGGGGGATTGAATGAGAGGAAGCCGGGAAGCATTTAGCGAGGTGCTGGCGGATGGGGAAGCTGTCCGGGTACTTGTTATTTGTGCCTCCTCCACCCAGAGGAAAAGGACGCGAGTGGAAGGTGTGGGCCGCTGTAGGGCCTGCCCTTGCAGCCTCCGAATTTCCGAATGAACCATGAAAAAAAAGGAAACGCAAGAAACTTACACAAAGTTTTCGAAGCACATCCTGGGGCCCACGACGTTAGCGGCTCCGCTGCTGATTTTAAAGGCAAAGAAGTTGTCCGGGCAGGGCTTGCTGAGACCACACTTGGTCCTCACGACCGCTGTGGAGGGAACAGACCAACCCTTGGTGGAGGCAGCTGGGGAAGGGGCTCGAGAGGAGTCAGGGGAGCGGCCAGCCGGGGAGCAGGCTCAGCAGGCGAGGGGCCGGGGGTGGGGTGGGGGGGGAGAAGCCGGCCCTCGGGCGGTGCGGGGGCAGGCTCAGCAGGCGAGGGGCCGGAGTGGGGGGTGGGGGTAGGCTCAGCAGGCGAAGGGCCGGGGCAGGCTCCGGACCTAGCGCAGAGGCCTACCTCCCCAAGGCGCCTTTGCAGACCGCCTGAGTGGGCGGGGGGGTGGGTAGGGGTGGGGCGGCGGGTGGCGGTGGCGGGGGATTTGCCCCTTTCTGCGCGCGCATGGGGCCTCCAGCCATCCCCGTCGAAGACGCAGGACACCGGCTGTGTGTCTGACCAACCTCGAGTTTTTCAGGGTTTCCACTACAGCTCTAGCTCCCGCGCAGAGCCTGGTTCTAATTAAGTCCCGCATCCTCTCCACGTGGCCCTCACAGGGCGGACCCGGAGGCCCGAGAAAGGCGGGGGATGTATGAAAGACCCCCAAACACAGCTGCCGATGCTCGGCCCTCCGTGGACTCCTTGTGAGCTGGGATATCCGTCACCAGCGCTTACAGCCTGGCAGGTTCTAATTTATATTAATGCGTGTTGTGTGTGTGTGTTTTACCACCACCTGACAGTTTGGAAAGTACCATTAGGGAGGACTGGGTAAACATGGAATTAGAGAAAGTTCACCTGCAAAGGGAGAGCCATGATCGGGCAGCGTCTCTGCTCCAGCCCCGGGCCACGCATCTGGCTGGGCTATGGCAGCCCGGGCTTGGAGCAAACCCACAGCCTTCCTGACAGAAGCTGGCGGACGCCGAGGCCTTGCTGTGTGCTGAGCACTGTGGCAAGCACTTTACATTTATTATCTTGTTAAATCGTGCCGGGAACTCCTGTGCCTGGCACATTGTAGGCACTCAGTAAATATTCACGGAATGAACGCATAGAGCATTGGGCAGGGCCGGGCTCCAGGCTGGGAGAAACGATGTGGTCAGGGTGATAAGGATCTTGCCAGCCTCTAGGGAGCCTTTATGTGCACCAGGGAAAAGTGCCCCTCCCGGGGGACACAGTCCACTGGTGCAAGACTTGGTAAAGGTGCTCCTTCCTGGGAGTGAATGCCGCTCCGGCCAGGGTACCCTCACCAAGTGGGTAGCCCGGGAGGCCTGAGTGGAATGCCTATCCTAGGCTCTCTGCCCTGTGCCCCCCCCCCCGAGTTTCAGGTATAACCAGAGCTCAAACCAGGACACTGTCACCAGAGTGACGGCCAAGAGCTGAGACACCCGCAAGGGGCTGTTAAGGGGAGAGTGGGTGTCTAGGCCTGTGGCTCAGGACAGAGAGGGCTGGAGACGTGGGGACCTGACTCCCCTTCCCCACCGTCTGGAGAGGACCCTTCTCAGGAGGCCCAGCACCTGCCCGAAGGTGAGGATGAAGGCTGAGGATGAGGGTGCGGAGAGGTCCTCTTCTCCTATGAGCCTTGGGCCCTAACCTCTGGTCCCCTGTCCCCTCATGGAGAGGCCAGTTTACTCTTGAGACCAGACGTTCTCACCTATGATAGAGGGATTGTTCCAGGCCCTGGACACCATCCTAGAGTTTGCTCAGAGCCTAATCAACTGCAGCTAAGTCTGATAAACCTGATGTCAACAGGCTGGCTTAAGCAGGCTTTTCCAGAATGGATTTTCTGACCATCCAGCCTTCACAGTCCAGCTACTGGATGAAGGGGTTGATGTCCAGGGGGCTCAGCCACTGGGAGGCAGGGGATTTGCTCTCTGGGTTCGAGCTGGGGGGCTGCCCCCACCAGCTGCCTCAAACCCTGAGACCCAAGCCCTCTGGGAACCCCTAGTGCTGTTGCTGAGGATGTGAAGCTGAGCATTGGATGGGGAGCAGTCAGGAAATGTGGGCTGCTCTTCAGTTATCTGAGGCGTGACTCGCCAGGAATCTCTCCCTTTACCTTTGCCAGCTGTAAAACGAGGGAGTTGGTTAGGATAAGGGCTGTCAAATAGCTTTTCTCTGAACTGTCAGTGGATCTGCTATTAGACGCTTAATGATAGAGCTGTAGAGGCTACCTGTGGGCCTGGAGGGCAAGGGCTGGGACTGGCAGTCGACCAGGAGAGTGGGCAGGGCGGGAGGCAGCACGTGTGCCTGGGTTTGCCATGCCCCTAGCAGATGATGCCTGAGTGTTTGCACCGAGATGCTGTGACACTCTGTGTCTACTTCAGAATATGACTCAGGAGGCTTCAGGTCAATGGAGTCGCAGGTGTGGGGCGGATGGTTTGCGTTCATCCATTATGGTCTTTGCTCTCTGTAATCCCACAGTGCACGGGGGCTCCCATGCCCTTCTCAGGCAAAATTCTGTTCCTGGAACTATGACCTTCTTCAGTCACTACTATGTTGGGGTGGGAGAAGGGGGACTCGGAGATGTTGCCTCTTGAAAGGAGGTGTGGAGAGGGTGGGCTCTGGGCTAGCCTGGAGGTGAACTCCTGCTCCACTATGTACCACTGTGTTGCCTTGGCCAAGAGATTTCTACTTCTCTGAGCTTCAGTTTGCCCACCTATAAAATGGGGATAGTCTGAGCACCTACACAAGGCGGTGGTGAGGATTGCATGAGATGCCTGTAAAGCTCTGAATATGGTGTCTGGCACATAGTAGGCCCTCCATCATTGTACTATTATCATCATCATAACTGTCCCTCCTTTCCACCTTCTCCACGCTTTGGGAGCTGGGGTCTTTGCTGAAGCCCTGCTTGGACGGCTGCAGTATCCAGCACTGGAGGCATCAGCATTCCCACTTCCCAGTGCCTGACTCTCCAGCCACCATCTCCCCTGCAGCCCCACACATTCCTGCCTCTAGGTCTTTGCCAGTCCCTCCCTGATGCCTTCTCTGACCTCATTCCACTGGAAGGGGGTAGCCCTCCCGGAGCCCAGAACACTTTGCCCATCTCTCCCGGCACATTGGGTACTTCTACCCCAACAGACAATCAGCACCCCCTTCTGTATGCCTCTGGGAGTGCCTGGATGCCTCATATGGCCCTTGGTACTCTGGAACAGGAACTGTGAACCAAGCCTGGGGTCTGCATGATGATAATAAGCAAAGAGCCCATCTTCAGGGCTCGGGCTCAGTGGGGGTCAGAGTGGGGAGGTGGCTGTGCAGGGCCAGGTGCTGTGACTAGGGAGGCAATCTAGCCTGCATGGCAGGGTGGGGGGTGCTGGGGAAGGGAGAGTTGAACCATCTCCATCAGTCTGAATGGCTGAGAGGAGGCCTCTACTGCTACAGGGCTTGGGGGCTTCAGAAGGTACCATGGGGCCATGGGAGGAGAGAGCTGGGCATATTCTGGACACCAGGATTTCTCTGGGGCCTGCAGGGCCAGGAGGAGCAGCCCTGGGAAGTCTCACCCTAAGGCAAAGGCAGGGTTGGGGTGATACTCACGGATTGCCTGTGATTCCAAACCTGCTGGACAGAGGACACAATCTGGTTAGCGAGAAGGTGCTTTGGGCGCCCCCTGCTGAAGGCTGGGGAAGTGGCATTGGCTGGGCCAAGCATTCTCCTCCCGTGGAGGATGTTAAATTGAGCTCTAAAAGTCCCATCCTGTCAGGGAGTCCTTCCTCACTTACTGCTGCCACCCCCCTTCGCGCCCACGTGCGTGCACACAGCACTACCTACTCTAACAGAGCATGTTATTAAATGCATAAAATAAAATAGATTAGAATGGAAACCAACTATATATCAATATAATAATAAAATATTAAAACATAAATTTGTGCTACAGTAATATATGTGCTTCTATATTAATGCATTAAATAATAAGGTGGGGGGTCTGTGCAGCCAGGCTAGGAACCTCTGAAGAAAATGAGTATTACTCCTTTCTGTGGCTGAATATTCATGGTTTTCCATGGCCACTTTTCCATTGGTTATCTGTCCTGTCACTGTAAGCATTTCTCAAGACTCTGGATCATCACTTTTGTTTTTGTATATCCTGTAATCAAGTCTGTGTGCCCGACTCAGACCATGAACGTGAGCCACATGTTTCTCATTTTGGGGTCCGTGGGACCTAATACAGAATTGTTGCTCCATGACTGTTGGTTGGAGGTACTGATTCATCAGACTTCAGGTAGCTGAGTTCTGGGGTGTACTTTCAAACATTGTCCTCTCTCTCACTTCAGGCTGGGGCTCTCTCTTCTAGAGGATGCCCCTGAGCTCCACTTCTGCTCTGAGCCTCCTACACTGACCTGGGCCCATCTCTTCCCAGGCTGTCAGCACAGCCAAGTCCATCTCTGTAAGAGCAGGGCCCTGGGGCTGGGGACAGGGTGGCCACCATGGGTCTATATAATTCATCCTGATGTGAGCCGTGCTTGACAAGAAGTGGATGAGGTGCGGGATCTCGGAGACTCCTCTTATGGGGTGACTGGCTTCACACTGCTGTGAAGCTGTGAGCTAGCCTGGGCCACTAGAGGTTATTAAGTTTGACTATGTCAGTGGAGGTCGTTCTCTAAATCCAAGGAGGACAAATGCAGAGACATAAATCCCTTCCCTTTCTTTCCTTCCTTTGAAAGGATTTGGACCTGAGAGACTTGGGTTTCCATTCCTGCTGACATCTATAAGGGAAATTTGGGCAACTTTCTTCATCTCCCTGAAGCTCCCTGAGCTTCTCTTTTCTTAAACTACACATAAAACCACACCATGAGGTCATGTAGGAACCCACTCCACAACCACACCATGGATCACTTCATGGGGCCATTTGTGCAGATTATGTGAGATTATGCATTAAGTAACTGGTATCCATTACTCATCCATCATCCATCCATACATCATTCATTCACCTATCCATCTACTCATCCATCCATCACCCAACCATCCATCTACCCATTCATCTATCCATGCATCCGTCATTCATCCATTATCTACCCACCCACCCATCCATTCACCATCCATCCACCCATCCATCCACCCATCATCTATCCACCCACCTATCCATCCATCCATTCACCCACCCTTCCATCCACCATCCATCAATCCACCCATCCATCATTCATCCATCCATCCATTCATTTTTCTTTCATTCATCAAATGTTTACTGAGCATCTGCCCTGCACTGAGGCTAGAGAAATGGAGGTACACAAGATAAAATCCTTGCCTTCAGGAAGCTTACATTCTAGGGAATGGTGATCGACAACAACCAAATAGACAAATAAATAAACACCCTAATGATGGCTGATGGTGAAGCTCTGAAGGAAATAGGCTGATATAGGGGCTAAAGTAGAGGGAGGGGGCATGGCTGCAGCTGGGGTTCTTGGGTAAGGCTTCTCTGAGGAGGTCACATTTGAGCAGAGACCTGAAGTTGGAGAAGAGCTGCCTACAGGAACATCTGTGTGAAGAGTGTTTCAGGAAGAGGTGATAGCAGCTGCAGTTGGATGCCACTCAGTGCTCAGTTTTGTCTCTCTTGACTCCCTTCTTTTCCTCCCCCCTCCTTCCTTCTTTTCTTCCTCCCTCTGTCCTTCTTCTTTCTTGGAATCACATTTCCAAAATGGCCCTTGATGCAGGCACATGTTATAGCCAGGGCCTTGGAACACTTCTCTGCTCCCCATGGGCTCCAGCCTTCCTGGCAGCCTCCACCCCCACAAAGGCTGGAGTCCCAAAGGCTGTGCACACCCTGCCATGTCTGGCTGTCTCCTGGGTCACCCATAGATGGAGGGAGGAATATCCTTGGCCCCGTCCTGGTCCACAGTCCCTGCACCCAGCAGTGATCCCCACTCACCTAGCCAGCGGGGCAGACGGAGAGTTTTCATGTTGAAGCTGATGTAGCTGCTAATAAAGATCCATGTGGCGACCAGGGCAAAGATAAGGGCCAGGAGGCGAAGCACACCTGTAGCGCAAGGAGATCCTGCCATGAAGCCACATCACAAGGCCACATAGCAAGTTCACTTGTGAGTCCTTACCAAATCCCCACAGTGAGACCATGTCATGAGACCCCAGCAGGAGACCCCGTGTTGTGGCCCACACCTTGGACCAGGTCAGGAGACCACGGGGTGAGACCATGTGTGAATCCATGCAATGACCAAAGGGTGAGATCATGCTGCAAGATTACGTGGCCACATTTCCCAAAGTGGGTCCACTGGGAGAAAAGGTTAGAAATGCTCCTTTCTGGGCTCCACTTAGCCATCCAGAGACAGACTCCTTAGGGGTGAGGCCTGGGAATCTGCACTTTTATCCAGTACCCTGTGGTGAGGCCTGAGTGTGTGGCAGCAAAACAGGAGGCAGGTTCTGCTGCTGACAGCCCGAGGGGTGAGCCCCGCCGCAGAAGTTGGGAAGGCTGCGTCCAGCGCTCCAGGCGGCCAGAGCCACTGTGGGACCTCGGGCAGAAGCTCAGCCTCTCTGGGCAGGAGTGCCTCAGTCACAGAGTGGACATGGTTCAACAGCCTCGCTTCTGAATCCACAGCTTGTGGGGAGGGAGGTGATAGTTGTCACTAGTAGGCAGCCTCCAGAGTGGCTTGGGGCAGGGGCTGGTCCCTCACATTTTCCATTGCTCCCCCTGAAAGCAGCCACAAATAACTACACAATGCTATCTATAGGAACACACACTGGCCTTGCTGAGGTGACTTCCCTCGCCTCACAGCCTGACTGCTTCTGCATCAATGGGGAGCGACCCCACACAGGACAGACTCCTGGTCTCCAGAGCTCCCAGAGCTCCCGGTCTCGCTCCCTTCCCTCACTCTCCCATGAGGGCCAGAAGCGGGCTCCACTATGCCTCCCAGCTCAGGGACTTCGGTGGCCCCACTGCCATCAAGCCATGTTCTCTAGCTCCGCCCCTGGCCTCTGCGTGGCCCTGAATTCAGCTCTGGGGTCTTATGCTGGCCTCTGGCTACTTGGGGTGGGGGAGAAGGCCCCCTGAATCCTGTGGGGCAGGGCTCAGGTCTTTGGGGGGTCCCTCGTCTTCTGGGGGACAGTGTGGTGGGAGGCACCCAGAATTCTCCCTGGGTATCAGTTCACATTATACAGCCATTTTGTTTGAGGCAGCGGACGAACAGCTTTCACATACATTATCTCAGTTCATCCTCATGGTAAATCTCTGTCAGGTACTACTGATCATTCCCATTTTGCAGATAAGGAAATAGGCTCAGGGAGGCGGTCACTTGGCTGGTAAGTGACAGAGGCAGCGTTTGAACCCAGGAACGTGTGCTGACTCTAAAACTTGTGCTCTGAACTGGGTCAGTCCCTGTGATACAGGCCAGGTGGGGCCATGATGCCAAAGCTTCTCCAGCCCTTCAGCCTAGGGGCAGCAAGTTGCCTTTTCCCCTCTTCCAGGCTCCCCCTGGATGGGTTTCCTCCTGGAGTTAGTCTGGTCTGAACATTTGAGAGCATAGACAGTCAACCAACCTCTGAGTCTAGGGACTGACTGCATTCCTGATAGAAAAAATGATTCCTAAACCCATATCAGACCTCAACGTTGAGACTTTGAATCCTCGGAACATGGCCCCTACCTGACACTCTCATCTTGTCCAGGTGAGGAGCGGCTTGGGGTCAGCGTTAGCCTGTGGAGAGAAGGAAATCAAATTGGAAACTGGCACCTGGGGTCTGAAAATGAGTAAGATGCACGATTAGGGACAGGTACCTTGACTGAGGAGATCACAGACCTTTCAGTTTGGTTCCTCACCATCTGCCATCTGTTCACTCTCTGCCTCCACCTCTCCTTCACTTTTGCCCCTAGAATCTTATATTCAATTCAACATGTCTTTCTTGGGTACAGAGATTGGCAGGTAGAGGAAGGTGTAGTCTGCCAGCCACTGTCTCTTGGAGGATTGATTTATTCATTCATCCATCCATCCTTCCATCCTTCCATCCGTCCATACTTCTACCCTTCCACTCTTCCATCCGTCCATCCCTCTGTCCCTCCAGCCAGCTGAGAGACATTGAGCTGGCTAGCTCCAGTAAAACATCAGGAAACAAAAGCTCAAGTGATTTCTGCTGAAGTGCCAACGTGAAGAGTAATGAGAACGCTCACGTTACAGGTGAGTTTGCGGGGGGTGCTATATATGCATATACCTCCTTTAATCCTCACGCTCCCCCTTTTTAGGGGTAGGTAAGCCAGGACTCACCATGGTTAAGCCCAGGGTTATTCAGCTTGTAAGGGTCACAGCCAGGATTTGGATGCAGGTCTCCACTGCCCAATCCCCACAGGGTCCCACTGCCAGGGCCTTTTGTCCCAGAGGAGAGTTGAAACTGGAGTTTCATCCCTTCTCGAGCCCTAGGTCCCACCTTTCACCTGTGCCACCCCCGAGGTGCTGGGCAGTTACCAGCGATTCAGCAGCTGTGAAGACCCCCAGTAGGTCTCTAGAAACCTAGGGGAGGGGAGGGTAAGGCTGGTGGCAACTGTTTCAAGTCTCTAGCCAGCTGGAGCAGCTCTGACTGCAAGGACTTGCTCCCACTACTCTTCCACTCCCCACTCGAGAATCTTCTTTATCCTGAGAATCCATCTCAACAGACATGGCCTCCAAAGTCCAACCACCAAGGACCCAGATAAGAGACCGGAGGCTTAATGCCTGCCATTGAAACAGTTGGGCTGAGTCAGTCCTTGATATTTAAACAAAAGCAAGAGCAAATCTACATTTCCTTTTGATAAGTATGAAAATGTTCCCACCCACTCTGGCCTGCTGTCTAGGTCCTTCCAGGAAAGAAAGGTGAGCTGGTGCCTGACCCCACCCACAGAGATTTTATAGAACTTTAACTTCCTGAAATTCAAATTATCACCCCCCCACTTTTGTTCAGATACAAGAGTATGCTTTTGAATGTTCATGGGATCTGACCTAGAGTCTGGGAGCCCAGGCCCATGGATGACGTTGGAAGGATGTCCCGTGGAGCTGGGGGCCAGACAGGATGGAAGGATGGGAACAGGGTCAGGTGGATGAGGGTGCACAGATGACTAGACAGACGTTGATATTGACAGAGAGCATGCCAGAGACAGAACTTGGAGAGACAAAGGACAAGGGGAAGCGGGGATGGCAGAGATACAGAGGAACACACAGAGAAAGAACAAGGCAGGGACAGAGGAGGAAAACAGATAAAGGGGCAGAGGTAAAGAGCAAATACTTAGGACATGCATTCACCCAGATTCAGAGGGAGAAAAAGACAGTGCCATTCAGAGAGAGACGAGAGAGAGAGGACAGAGATAGAGGCTGGGATACATACCTGGGTAAGGGGCTAGCTTCGCGCTGTCCTGCCCATGTCAAGCAGGGACTCTGGCTTCAGGGC